CTCACAGGCCCAGAGGGGACATGGGGTTGTGGGCTGGAGCCCGGCTCTCGATCTGCTGTGGCAAAGGCCTTTGTCTCAGGGAGAGGGCAGGTCTGGGATGAGGAAGGGTTCCAGGGCCCAGGTCTTCCTGGGGATGTCACCCAGTGATCTGCCTGTGCCTGGAGCGGTTTCTGACATCCTTGAAACAGTATCCACCTGTTTCTTTGTGTGGGAGGCAGGCAGTTTGCACCTGTAGGAGTCTTCCCAGAATGCTCTTCTCGGCTCTGCAAGCTCGCTGGGAGTGAGCCCTATGCTGGCTCCGGGTCAGAGCTGGCAGGCTTGCCCTGCAGGGCGCCTGCCCTCAAAGGCCGCTGTGACCCTTGGAAACTGGGATGCTCTTCTGCTTGGGGTACAGAGGGAGAAGGGTCACAGGCCTGCTCTCAGCACAGAGGTCTTTCTGCCCTCCTTGGCCGACTCAGCAGGTAAAAGCTGGCTAGCTTGTTAGCCTGGCACGGCCCAGGCAGGCCCTTCGTAGGCTCTCCTCCACCAAACCAGCGGTCACTTCCCCACGTGGGTCCAGATGAAGTGGGGCACCACTAATAGTTACTCAAGGGTCCTGGGAAGATTGTTTCACTGGATCAGCAGAGAAGGATCGATCCTCTGTCCCAAGCCAAACAGCTGGGGAATGGCTGAGATGTTTCTGGCTCACTCCACGGAACCACACCGTCCGGCCCTGCTTATCTGCCCCCACCCGCCCGGCCCTGACACTGCTTTCCCCTTTCCGATGGGCTGCAGGTGCCCATACCCATGCTGCCTGCCCCGGCCTACGATGCCACAGGGGCTGGGGGAGAGAAGTGAAACTCGCACCCCATTAAAACCAGCAGCGGGAACACTCACCACAGCTGCTGAGCCACGCGCGTTGATCGCTCCAGGATTTAGTGGGCTCCCTGGCCTGACCACCCCTTTCTCCCCGCAGTCATCTCTGGGGATGAGCCCAAGGAGAAGATCGAGCTGGTCACCTACTTTGGGAAGAGACCCCCAGGTGTGCTGCACTGCACCACCAAGTTCTGTGACTACGGGAAGGCCGCGGGGGCTGACGAGTACGCCCAGCAGGAGGTGAGTTCTCCCCAGGGACGCTCGGCTCGCGTGGGAAGGGCAGCAGCTCCTCCTGCAGCTCTCCCTTACCTGGACCCCAGCAGCCTGCCCACGGGCCTTTTCCTTCTACGGCCCCAGGGATGAGGTTGGCGCAGCAGGCTCCCACTGGGGCCTCCAGAGCCTAGGAGCCCCTTCCCCCCAACTAGGGCCAGTGACTCACTGGCTTAGGGGTCCACATCCCTCCCCACCACAGGGCAGGCCCCCTGTGCCCACATTCCCTGACGGGGTGATCCTTAAGCTTCGTCAGCAGCCTCCCCCGTGAGGCCTTCCCTGAGCCCTGGCACGCCCCGCCCCCCATTCTCCACCTGGGTTAAGGCAACCATCTCCCTACTGGTCTCCTCCCTTCAGACGGTGGCTTCCCGAGGATGAATTGTCAAGACGCCTTTCACCCTGGTGTGCCCTGGCCCTAGTTGAATGAATGAACAGGACTGTGTGACCCTTGCCACAGCCACCTGGGACCACTCACTCACTCACTCAGCAGTATTTACTAAGCACCTGCTCCATTACTGCTGGGACAGGGGCTGTGAGCAGAACCAGAGATGCTTTTGATGATGAAAGAGATGGAATTCTCAGAGTCAGATCCTCATACTGCCACAGAATCTGATATAAACCAAAGGGGATGGTGGATTTCATCAAGGACACCTCTGATCTCTCCCTGCCTTCCAGGGCGCTGCCCGGGTACCAGGGCCATCAGCGGTAATGGCATCTGGCCCTGGTTGTTAGAATGCCTCCTGTCAACTCTCGGGTGGGCTCGGGGGTTGGCCCCAATTCACAGGGCGTAGAAGTTAAACACCTTGCTGACAGCCCCAGAGCTAGAAAGCAGAGGTGCTGGGTTCTTTTTTTTCTTTTCTTTTCTTTTTTTTTTTTGACAGAGACAGTGAGAAAGACAGAAAAGTCTTCCTTCTGTTGATTCACCCCCCAAAATGGCCGATACGGCCGGCGCTGCGCCAATCCAAAGCCAGGAGCCAGGTGCTTCCTCCTGGTCTCCCATGTGGGTGCAGGGCCCAAGCACCTGGGCCATCCTCCACTGCCTTCCCGGGCCACAGCAGAGAGCTGGCCTGGAAGAGAAGCAGCTGGGACTAGAACCTGCACCCATATGGGATGCCAGCGCCCCAGGTGGAGGATGAACCAAGTGAGCCATGGCGCCGGCCCCGGTGCTGGGTTCTTGACCCCCAAGTCTGCCTGCCACCAGCTGTCCCGTCTGCACACCTGCGCTCCCCGCTCTTGGACTGGCCTTTCTCCAGGTGCAGTCCACACGTGCTCGGTGCTGGGCTGTCCCCCTCCAGAGGCCGCCGCTCCAGCTTGGCCCTCCTTCCCTCTCCCTAGGTGGTGAAGAAATCTTACTGCAAAGCCTTCACACTGACCATCTCTGCCCTGTTTGTGACACCCAAGACCACTGGGGCCCGGGTGGAGCTCAGCGAGCAGCAGCTGCTGCTGTGGCCGAGTGACGTGGACAAGGCGGCGCCCTCCGACAGCCTGCCGCGGGGGAGCCGCGCTCACATCACCCTGGGCTGCGCGGCCGACGTGGAGGCCGTGCAGACGGGCATTGACCTCTTGGAGATTGTGCGGCAGGAGAAGGGGGGCAGCCGCGGCGAGGAGGTGGGTGAGCTCACCCGGGGCAAGCTCTACTCCCTGGGCAGTGGGCGCTGGGTGCTGAGCCTGGCCAAGAAGATGGAGGTCAGGGCCATCTTCACAGGCTACTATGGGAAGGGCAAGCCTGTGCCCACGCATGGCAGCCGCAAGGGGGGCACCTTGCAGGCCTGCACCGTCCTCTGAGCCTCCTCCCTGCACCTCGCCCTTCACTCTACAAGGGAAGGGGAGGAGAGGGAACTGTGCCTTCCCCCATCTTTATTTTAAGATTCCTACCCCTCCCCCCCTTTTTTTATAGTCAAAGTTAAAAGTTAACCTGCCTGTAACTTTTTGGAAACTTGTAATATAACTGCCCCCTTCCCCCACCCTTATCCCCTCTAATACTCAAGCTGTCAACTCGAGGAGCGTAGGTGGGCACATTCAGGAACCCGCACCAAAGCTGAGGAGGCTGGGCCGTGCTGGGCCTGGGCCGAAGCCAGAACCCTGCCCTGCCCACTTCCAGGTACTGGTTGGCCCCGCCCGTAGCCCAGGGCCGGGCTAGTGGGGGAGACTCCTGGACCTCATCACCCCACTGCTGGAGGCAGAGGGCAGTGAGGCAGGGCAGGCACCCACTGCCAAAGCAGTGGCTCTGGGAGAACCCCTGGACCCTGACCCCACTTCTTAATCACTGTGGCCCCAGTAAGGCTGGGGCTATCTACCAGGGTAGAAAAAGGGGTTTACCTCCCACCTTCAGCCCCAAGTCCCTGTGCCGGCATCACACCCTAACTCCATAACTGGGGAGAAGAACAGAACAGGAAGCAGCAGCCTGCTTCTGGCCTCTGCCCAGGAAGGCAGTGAGGGGCTGACCGCCCTGTCTAGTACTGTGGCTCTGTTGCATCGTGGGGAGATGGAGGCCAGAGACAGCATGGTGGTGGCAAAGCGGTCTGTCCAGCCCATCTTGCCCCCATGGTGCCTCTGGAGGCCTCTGGGCCTCCTCTACAGGGGGTTGGTGGGCACACAGAGCCAGTGGGGTGGACCCCAAGCTGGTAAGGGTTTCTCAACATTGCCACACAGCCTGTGTTCCTGGGGTGCCCTCCAGCTCCCTCTGCTCAGTAACAGGACCTTGCTAATCGGGCTGTCACTCAACAGAAGTGCTTGGGATTTATGTTACTATCCTGGCTCTGCCCAACTCCGGCAACTTGTACGACTGATAATGAAATAAATGATGTTAATCCTGGCTGTGCGTAGTCTCTCTCGCCCTTCTGTGCCCAGCTCAGTCTTCCCAGGGGCGAGGGCTGGGTTGATTAGGACTGGCTTTTGTCTCTCAGCTTGGGGCCATCGGTCCTGTCTCCCCTCTGCTGGCTGGGCACAGCTGTGGCGAGGCTGGGCAGCCGAACAGTGCTGGCTTTCATGAGGCAGCAGAACAGAGCGAGGCTGGCCTTGGAAGTGGGGGCTGGCTGGGCCACAAAGCCCGTCGTCCCCATTACCAGGGTGCCAGGCCTGCAGGCATCCCCACCCGTCCCATCCCTTTAGAGAGATTTGTCTCAGCAAGACCTCAGACTCATGGTAGGGGCTTAATAGCCCGTGCAAAGCTTCCTGGGCCCAACTCGGGGATTCTGTCACTACCGCCTAGGCACCGAAGGAAAAACTAGAACGAAAGGGGCAGGCAGGAGCTCATAAAGAGAAATGTCAGTTCTCTGTCCCTGGCTGCATGCTAGCAAAGCGCCAGGTGTGCGCCTAGAACGCCCCCAGCTGTTCACCTCAGCTGAGCAGCCTGACACCCGCCACTGCTGCCCCCCAGCCGGGCCCCAGTGTGTAGGAAGGGAACCAGGAGGAGCAGGAGGTGAGGCGCTTTTCTGAGAACAGTGTTTCCAACCACCAAGCCAACGGCAGCACCAGACCCAGTGGCAGTCCCATTCTGGAAGGGTCTGGGGGTTGGGAGGCAGGATTTCATCCTTGTCTCCTCCTCCCTGGGGCCCCCGTCAGCAGCGAGACCTGAGCTGCTGTGTAGGCCACCCTGTCGGGTGAGCACACCTCTATTCTCATGTGTGAGCTTCGGACACACAGCTCCTAATGGCTGTGGCTGTGGCTGGCCCCACCAGGTACTGCAGCTGCCAGGGCCTGCTGGCCCCTCCTGTCTCCCTGTGTTTGGAAAGGTAGTCAGAACCCCAGGGCACCCACAGCCCTGGGGGGCAGCTTCCTGGCCTTTAGGCCCAGGGCAGGACGGTCCCATGCTGAGGGCTCAGCTCTGGCCACTGACTGCAGCAGGGTAAGAAGCAGCTGCCAGAGCAAAGGGCCAGAGAGGGTCAAAACATTTTATTCCTTGTTTTTTAATAAAGTTAAACAGTAAAACAAAAATTCACAAGCTGCCTCCCTGTCCACCCCCGCCTCCCTCCCCTCCCTGTAGTCTTCGGCGCTGGCTCCCTTTCCTTCACCCACTCACACAGACACGGGATCCAACTGAGAAAACCAAACTGCGCTAAGTACACGGAGACATGATGAAGAGGAGGTGAACTGTCCACATTCAAGGTTTAACTCAGCGAGTCTGCATCTTCTGGGTTCTGGGTGGCTGCCCTTCATTAGCCAAACTGAAAAAAGAAATTCCCTGGGCCAGATGCTGGAAGGGAAGAGAAAGCCTTGTTAGCCGGCTCTGTGGGTTTTCCAGGGAGGACTGTCTTTGCTCCGATAATGGAAAAGTCGCCAAAGGCTGCTTCAAGGGCCAATAAGGAAATCCCATGGGTGTCCATCACACCACCAGGGCCCCGGGGTGCCTGAGGGGCAGGCAAGCGCATCTTCTGCGTGCAGCTTCACGACGCCAGCGCCCTTAGACGCCTCCCTGGCCCTGCGGCTCCTGCTGCTAATGATCGAGGGGCCAGGTGGGGACCTCCCCCTGGCCCCAGCAGCACCTGACTACAGATGCCCCCGCTCATGCCTCGTTCTCCCAAAGAGCTGCCCAGGTGGGGAGTCAATGTCGCTTTGTGAGCTGGGAACTCCCAAGAACAGCAAACAAACCCACCTTCAAAGCTGAAGCCCCCAGGACCACCGAAGAATGCCTTGAAGATATTGTTGGCATCAAAATCTGCAGCAGGGAAAGTAACATGGAAGGGACGAGAAGGTTAAGATCAGAGGTGTCTGGAACACTTTCCCAGACAGGTATCACTCCCCTCCTTCCTCAGCTCAGACGAGAAGTGGGCAAATCCGTCCCACCCTGTGCAACATACACCCTGCCTGATCCTGCTCCTAGAATGTGTCCCCTCTCCTCCCAAGTGCCACGCCAAAGGAAACCCTTCTCTGCCTCAACCTGCTCTGCTGGCCCCTTCGCAACAACTGGGAACGCTGCTGCACGGTGAGAGCCTGCTCTGGCCAGTGAGCCCACAGTGAGCCAGGACTGACTGTGTGCATGTCTGCTACTCCATCCAGACTGTGCCATGGCTCACTAAACAGCTACTAGGTCCCAGCACTCCGCATACACTGTGTCTTTAATCCTACCAACAATCTGTCAGAGAGACATAGGCATAGACATAAAACATAGGCAGGGAATTAAGTAACTGCTCAGATCTGCAGAACTGGAAATACTAACTCCAGTCTGACTCTGCGGACCCTAACCCCAACCTGACATTTAAAAAAATATTCATCTACTTTAAATACACAGTGACAGAGAGCAAGCAAGAGCACACAATTTCATCTTGTGGTTCACCAAATGCCCACAATGGCCAGGGCTGGGCCAAGCTGATGTCAGGAGCCCAGAAGCCCATCCGGGTGTCTCCCATGGGTGGCAGGCGCCCAGGCACTTGAGCCATCACCTGCGGCCTCCCAGGAAGCAGAGATGCTGGGACTCGATCCCAGGCATTCCTGGTATGGGATGTAGGCGTCCCAAGTTGTGCCCCGACACCCGTCCCAGGTGGACTTCCTCAGCAGCACTCAAGAACTGACTTCACCAGCGACCACACGGTGTCCAGAAGCACAGTCCTCTCTGCTTACATACTGCTTACCTTTGTGGGCGTCCCTGGATGGGTGGATGGCTCCACCAGCTGCCTACGCCAAAGCTACTCGTCTCTTCCCTCTTCCCAATCCACGTAATCAGCAGCCAACTCCTGCCGGGTCCACTCGCCCCATGATGCCTTCAATCCTTTCCTACTGGCTGTGTCTGCCATCTCACCCCTCCTCCACCACCTCCCCTCACTGCCATCACAAATACACTTCCAGGGGCTGGTGGTGTGGTGCAGCAGGTTAAGCCACTGCCTGCGACACCATCATCCCACAGAGGCACTGGTTTGAGTCCCAGCTGCTCCACTTCTGATCCAGCTTTATAACTAGTGCCTGGGAAAGCAGTCCGTGCCACCTACAAGTGAGACCCGGATAGAGTTAAAGGCTCCTGGCTTTGACCAGGCCCAGCTCTGTCACTGCAGCCAGTAGGCCAGAGGATGAAAGATTCATTCTCCCCCCCCCCCTTCCTCCCTCTCTATAGCTCTGCCTTTCAAATAAATAAATCTCTAAAAACAAAACAATCTGGTCTAGCAGGTCCCTACATAAGTTCTTTAATAGCTTCTCACTGCGGACAGCCCTTCTCACCTGCTGGGAGACATACTTTTTATCCGTAAACCCAGGTTCATTTAAACCCAAACACAGCAGTGCCCCACCCTGACCCAGAGAGCACTCTCCTGCAGTATCATCACTCTTTACTTGTTAGTGGGAGAGAAAGGGCTGGCATCAGAGACGGTGATGTGCACGCACGCCGCACACAGTCCAGGCCTTTCATTATCTCTGAGGGAGCCCAGAGCAGCTGTCCTTACTGTGTGCCAACCTGAGTCTTTTTGGGAAATTTAAATCTGAGGGTTACAGAATGCATGGGAGGCCCAGCTAACAAGACAAAGCCCACATTCCTGAATACACCAGCTGAAGGCGGTTGGAGATCTGACCTGGTGGCTTGCTGGCCTGGCCTCTTACACCTTGCCCCTAGACTGAGCCCCTTGCATGGCACCCCTGAAGGTGCCATGCTGGTGTTCATCCAATGCACCTGCCTCAGTTGATGACGCTGGTTAGACTGCATGTCTTTTTTTTTTTTTTTTTTTTTTGACAGGCAGAGTGGACAGTGAGAGAGAGAGACAGAGAGAAAGGTCTTCCTTTGCCATTGGTTCACCCTCCAATGGCCGCCGCGGCTGGCGCACTGCGGCCGGCACACCACGCTGATCCGATGGCAGGAGCCAGGTACTTATCCTGGTCTCCCATGGGGTGCAGGGCCCAAGCACCTGGGCCATCCTCCACTGCACTCCCGGGCCACAGCAGAGAGCTGGCCTGGAAGAGGGGCAACTGGGACAGAATCCGGCGCCCCGACCAGGACTAGAACCTGGTGTGCCAGCGCCGCAAGGCGGAGGATTAGCCTAGTGAGCCGCGGCGCCGGCTCTCCATGTCTCTTACTCTGTCGAGACCTTGGATCAAATTTGATCCTGGGGGTTGCAGTTTGCAAGCCCCAAACTGGGCTCCTGGAGGTCTGGGCATGAATCATCTCCACCGCTTCCCACACTACAGGCCCTCATCAGGGGAGCCGGCCCAGGTCACGGGGCCCTGGCCAATGACACACAGACCCTCTCCATGGAGTGTCTTTAGACAAGGCTCCAGCACCCCACAGCCACCGTTCACCCCAGGCTGTCCCAAGCAGCTCACCAGCCGTGTTCATGCCTTCCTCGTCCAGGTCCTGTCCGCTGTCATAGCGCGTCTTTTTCTTGGGATCAGAGAGGATGGTGAAGGCCTCTCCGACTTCCTTGAACTTTTTCTCCTCCTCCTTCTGCACCTCAGCACTGGCTCCACTGTGCCGATCTACAGGGAGAGCAAGGCGAGAACTCGAATGAAATCAAGAGTCTCAAGAAAACAAAGTTGATAGAGGTCACTTCCTGTTTGATTTTGGAAGTTGGAACTTCCTAAAACTTGACGGGTACAGAACCCACTAACGCCTTATTTCCAGCTCAGACACCTCTCCAAGGCTTCCACCCTGGGCCTGGCCGCAGGCTCTTGCCACCGAGGCTGCCACTCGACCCCCCTCTCTCCCAGCTCTACCTGGATGGTGCATCAAAGCCCGCTTCCGGTAAGCTTTCTTGATCTCATCCTCAGAGGCGTTCTTGTCCACTCCCAGAATCTTGTAGTAATCTTTCCTCTTACTCCTCTTCAGTTCCAGCTGTGCATTTTTAAGGAGCTGTTTGTGTTCTAGAGGAAGATACTTGGCATCAATAGACAAACTGATTGTAGTTGCTCTCGCTGGGTCGCAGCCCAGCAATGCAGTGGTTACCAGCCTGGCTCGCCACACCAGGCTCCTCACATTAGCCTCATGGCACAGAAAAGGAAGTGAAAGCAACAAGGAGTATTTGGATTAAGAAAACAGGTGCTTGGCCGACGCTGTGGCTCAATAGGCTAATCCTCTGCCGGCACACTGGGTTCTAGCCCTGGTTGGGGCGCTGGATTCTGTCCTAGTTGCCCCTCTTCCTGTCTAGCTCTCTGCTGTGGCCCAGGAGTGCAGTGGAGGATGGCCCAAGTCCTTGGGCCCTGCACCTGCATGAGAGACCAGGAGAAGCACCTGGCTCCTGGCTTCGGATCAGTGCAGCGCGCCGGCCGCAGCAGCCATTAGGGGGTGAACCAACGGAAAAAGGAAAACCTTTCTCTCTCTCTCTGTCTACTCTGCCTGTGAAAAAAAACAAAACAAAAAATGACCAAGGGTAAGCTCCAGGTACATCCCAATTCCTGAACCAAATTAACCGAAGTTCAATTTTAACACCTTCATACAAGACCACACTGTTCCCCGAGAACTGAGGCTTCTGGTCTCCCTCACCTTTTGTTTTCTCCGTCTGGTACACCTTTTCGTAGTCCCGCACTGCTTCTTCATACTGTTCTGTGTCCGTGTAACTGAGGAGGAAATACAAGGCATCACAGCGCTCAGACATAAACAGCAGTGGTCTCTGGGCTCACCGGAAGGAAAGAGGCATGGCTCAAGCAAGGGACACACACTTTAGGGGGAGACTTCATGGAGCAGGGGTTCCTAATCTAGCAGTGAGAAAACCAGCTGTGAGCTCCTCAAGGAAGAGACAGGTTGCAAGGCATCTGTACCCAACCAGCAAAGTGATGCCCTGCTCTGAGTGGAAAGAAAGCAAGTTCCTTCCAACACAGCCCCTCAAGAGGCACCTGGACGGCCTTGGGAAAGGCAATGTGAAGGCACCTACTCGAGGACTTGGATCGAGACAAGAATGAGAAGATTATCCAGTGAGAGAAACCGATATGGAAGAGCTTTGAAACCTACAGTGCCAAAACCACGCGGGGCTCCAAACCAGGGTGGAAGTAGGATCAGCGAGCTACTGGACGGGTCAAGTTCGAGGCTACCGGCAAATGCTTCCTTTGAGATCAATGTGAGAGGTGTAGGTGAATGAGAGAGAAGAGACTCGAAACACAGGGATGCTTCTATTTAGGAGCACAAGAAGGAGGAGGTCACTGACCAAGGCAGTGCGGCATCCAGCTCGACGGGCTGTCAGCCCATTTAAGTGCCTCTTCCATGGAAGTAGTGGCATTTTTTTGCGTCCCGGTAAGGTCACTGGCACTGAGTCTGGCCTACCAATTAAACAGGTCCCATCAGCAGGGAGTGGGAAGTGATGGCCCCACTGATCACACGGCTCCACACAACATCACAGTGGAGGCCAGGGCAGGGACAATGCTACCAGCTGGCTGGCGAAAGAGAAGCCCAACATTGCAGCCACCTAGTTTTCTGGCTGACATCTTGATTTAGGAATTTAAAAAAACAAAAAACAAAAAACAAAAAAAAACCAACCAGTGCTCTGCAGACACAGGACACAGATGCTACTACTCAGAGCTCAGAGAGCCACTTACAGAGTGAAGTGTAACAACACCTGAAGTGAAAGCCAAAGAAGGGGCCGACGCTGTGGCGCAGCGGGTTAACGCTCTGGCCTGCAGTGCCGGCATCCCATATGGATGCCAGTTCCAGTCCTGGCTGCTTCTCTTCCCATCCAGCTCTCTGCTCTGGCCTGGGAAAGCAGTAGAAGATGGCCCAAGTCCTTGGGCTCCTGCACCCTTGTGGGAGACCCAGAAGAATCTCCTGGCTCCTGGTTTCAGATCAGCGCAGCTCTGGCCATTGCGGTCAGTTGGGGAATGAACCACTGGAAGGAAGACCTTTCTTTCTCTCTGCCTCTCCTCTCTGTGTAACTCTGACTTGCAAATAAATAAATAAATCTTAAAAAAAAAGGAAAGAAAGCAAAAAAAACCTGGTAACTGACAGCCCTGGGTGTAGAATGATCTGATAAACGAGTAACCACGATGAACTCTCTAGGCCCATACATCAGGGACTGAACAAGTGGTGTGCTACAGTGACTCGCACTTGTATTTCCATCTTGAATTCAAAGACATCCGACATCTTACTTTTCAAAAGTTGAAGAGAAACAAAGGAAGAACTCTAGCTCGTGACAGAAGACGCTGCAATCACACAGCATCCCCCAACTTGAGAGGTAAGCTGAGGCAAACAGGGATGGTGCTCAGGCCTCTGGTCTGAGCTGAGCTCCAACGTGTCTTAGCCGTCTCAGCAGACTGCGCTGAGGAGCGCATACCATCCCCCTGCGGCAGAGTCTCAAAGGCAGAGCCACTCCAAGGACAGTCATTTCCAGACCAGAGAAAGGGCAATCTGATCAAAGCAACCCCCAGTTCTTGTTTACCGTACACTCACAAGAAGAAGAAAATAATCCTCCATCCTATCATCCTGCCAACAAGAATTTTCTATTCCCTCTCCATTCTCTGCTCTACTTTCGCAGCAATTCCACTCCGCTGATGGAGCAGGGCACCAGACACCCAGCTATCCCCTCCCCACTAGCCGGAGGCAATTCTCCTTCTCCACTGTTCCAGACAAGACCACAGTGAACACCTGCAGACACACAGCACTGTGCACCTGTCAGAAGGCAGTCATTAATCGGGTCAAGGTGTGCTCTTATCTTCCAAAGTTTTGTTTCTTGAGAGGCATGCAAAGACAAATGAGTGGCAGAATCTAGAATCCCACACTTAGCCATCTACTTAGAAATTCACTTTTTAAAAAATATCGTCCATAAAAATGGTGAGAATTTGGGGAAAGCTACATGGGAGGTGGTCTGTGAGAGGAGCCGCTCCACTGACAGGGATGGAAGACTTCCACTACTAGCTCGTCAGGCACCCATTACAGCACCCTGGGCCCCGTGTTGGAGGCCGGAACACAACCAGCATGCCTTCCTTCTGGAACTTGAAAGACAGGAAGCTCTGCCTGGGAAATGACCTGAAACAAGCAGTGCTGGGTTTCCGACCCAGGTCTCTGACCCTCATTCCTGTTCCTGTCTGCAGGTCTGCCGCATCCTAGAACGAGATGAGCAAGCGTCCCCGACACCGGGGCCCTCCAGGTGGGCACACCGGCTCCCAATCACCCTGCCAGGCAGACGTCCTCTCAAACCTGCACAACCCAGCCAGAATGTTTCATAAAGGAGCTGCTCCTGCTGCCAAGAGGCTGAGCCAGATTAGATCCCATCCAACCCTAAGACTGTCTTCCCTCTCCCAGGACAAACAGGGTAAGTCCACCCTCAACTGTCTCCAAGAGACATTACTCCTTTCTCTGCCAGCACCACACATTCATTCAACAAAGCACGTACGGAGTGAGCACCCATGTGCCAAGCACTGTGCCAAGGTAGAGCAAAAGTGTACAACACAACACAAAATCTCCAAAGGCAATGGATTTAAACTTTAACAAAAGGAATTTGGGTCAGGCATCAGAGGAAACTTACTGACCGTGAGGGGCGTTAGACACAGGCATGGGAGACTGAGGGAGCAGTGCAATCTCCTCCGCTGGAGGTCTATAAAGATAGTCTAGGGCTGGAACAATCCCACCTAGAGGCAGGGGGAAGGACCAAATGACCTCACGACATCCCTGGGGCTGCTTCGTCATCCACAATGCAATTCCCCTGGTAGGCCGGCAGCACCCTCTTCCCGCCACGCGCCGCAGGCACTCACCACTGCGCTCGTCTCAAGTAGGCTTTTATATAAGTGTCATCGAGCTTCACTGCATTTGTGCAGTCTTCTATTGCATCATCTAGTTTCCGAAGCTTCAGGAGAAAGAGAGCAGTCACACTTCACGTCTTTGGTGATGCAGGGAGCCCAGAAGCTGGGAGCATGGCTTCAAAACTCTTAAGCGCAGCAGTCACGCTGGCCCCCTTAACTGTCTACCAGGCTCTTGTTCTCTAGGAAAGCCTGCAGCTCCGAAGGCTAAGGACACCAAGTTCCAAACTGGCTGCTTGTCTATGTCATGCAAGCCAGATACCGTCATCTGCAAGGATAAAACACCTCCCTGTTCCATGTTAGTACCTAACCCCAACATGGACATGCTAAGGGTGGTTTCCTGCCCTCCATCCCTGCAGAGGTCAACTAGAGGATGGTTTTCCATGACTAGAATTCTGAGAAGGCAGGAGCCTACTGTTCCTTATGATGGTAGCACCTCAGGAGCACTCAGAGGCCATCATTCAACTGTGCCTGGTGAGCATCAGCCAAGGTGGATAAAAAACTTGGCCTGCTTCGCACTCTCTAGTTTCCTACAAGCCACTCCTAAAACAAAAACGATCTCTTGTGTAGGCAAAAAGCAGCAGTTTTATTTGCTTAAAATGATCGCAAAGCCCCTAGCCATTCTCTTCCTGAGCGAAAGGGCCTTGAAGAAAAACAGGGAGGAACGCTCTTCCAAACTCAAGTACCCCAAGTGCTCCTAGGTGCCGCAGAAAAGGAACAGCTCTGCTCCCGGAAGGCCGTTCCTGACAGGCTGGGACAGAACTTTTCCTCTCATCTGGATTAACCTCATTGGGCAGATTCCCTAAGACCTCCTTGATGACCCTTAAAAGTATCTCCATGGGCCCCAAGTGCTTACCTTGGAATTAACTGTACCCCGATTACAGTAGAGTTTAGCATTGGTTTTTATATTGTTGGGGTCTATCCCCAGGGCTTCTGTGTACAGTTCATATGCTAGCTTGTAATTTCCTTCCTTAAAAGCTTTATTCCCATCTTCTTTCTTGGCTTTGAGAGCTTTGGCGTTCTGCAGAGAAAAGCACATCCAGAGTCTCAGACGCTGCGCCGAGAGGCCAGTCTACTTCCATGTCTTTAGCGTCACACGGCAGCCTCCCGCCCTGCCCCGGGATGTTGTCCACCGGTGCTGCCTGGGCTGGGCAGGGAAAGCAAGACTTACAAGGTGCCAATGGGCCTGCCTTGTTACCTGGGGTTTACCTCTACTCCCCAGGGCAGGCATGACTATCTTTTTTGCACTAAGGAGGAAAAAAGGAAAAACGAACCAGTGCTCACTCAGATAGCGAAAGGATCTGATGGAGTATGATTACATTTACTTTTAGGTAAACAGAAGCGGAAAGGATCAAGCACCCTTGCAAAGAAGAGGAGCTAACACATTCTTCATGTTTCTAAACTCTTCCACCGTGACCCCCTCAAAGGGCCAAAAGGAAGCTTTCATTCCCACCCAGACCCGGTGTCTAGAACTTACTCTGCAAGCGATGCAGGCCTTCTCGTGGTCAGGAGCCATCCTGAGAGCCTGCACAAAAAACTGAACCGCCTTCTCAATGCAGTCTTCATAATAAAGGCAAAGGCCTCGCACATAAAGAGCGTCCGCATTGGTGGAATCTATTCGTAAAATGTCACTGCAACAGCCAGAAAGGGGCACATTCAGCTGTGGCTTGGAAATGTCCACACCATTACTGCTATCACGGGTGGCCACTTTTTCCCTTGACCATATATTTAATATTCAAAGTATTTAAATAAAGGTTGACACAGTCCCAAGAATTCTTCCCAAACCTTCCCCAAATGTTTATCTTCAGTACACATCTTCTGTGTCACAACAGGAGTTGCAACTCAAGCCCATCTGGTTAAATCCTGTCACTGGTTTTGGTAAATAAAGCTTTACTGAAACACAGCCACATTCTCATTAACCTATTATCTATGGCTCCTTTTACATGACAATGGCAGAGTCCCTACAGCCTACAAAGGCTGGCACTTGACAGTCTGCCAACCCCTGGAATAGAAGGAAAAGGACTAAAGTTAAACAAAAAAAGCCCAAATAATATCCTCCAAACTCATAACCTGTTCCTTCCTACACAACACAAGTACCTGCTGTACTTCTATACCCCATACACTCTGGGTTTTCAAATCTGGTCTAATCTTTGGCCTTAAATCCCAGAAGGCCTGATCAGCTGCTGGTGGCCTACCTGTAGGACCACATGGTCCAGCAGTACCTGCCACTTTAATGCTGAACTGGTCTTAGTGCATACCTGGCCACAGACTGTGCCTCTGGGTAACGACCCAGCATTGCTAAACATTCTGCTTTGAGGATTTTGAAGCGATGGCAAGCAGGAGCAAATTCTAGGGCACGGTCCATGCAGAAAACAACCTGGGGAAGGAAGACAGTAAATATGACTCTTCATTTTACACTCCAGAGATGTCATTATTTTAGTTTGACACAGGCAACGGAGTTAAAATTCAAAGAAATTCCCAGGTTCGCTGTTGAGTAGGAAAGTAGCTGCAACTACTACTCATCCGTGCAGTAGTAGGTTAATTCTCCGCCTGCGGGGCCAGTATCCCATATGGGTGCTGGTTCGTGTCCCAGCTGCTACTCTTCCAATCCTGCTCTCTGCTTGTGGCCTGGAAAAGCAGTGGAAGATGACCCAAGTGCTTGGGATGCAGTACACATGTGGGAGACTGGAAGAAGCTCCTGGCTCCTGGCTTCAGATTGGCCCACCTCTGGCTATTGCAGCCATTTAGGGAGTGAACCAGCAGATGGAAGCCTTTGTCTCTCTCTCTCTTTGTAACTCTACTCTCAAATAAATAAATAAATCATAAACAAAGAGAAAGTAACATCTAAGCAAAAAAAAAAAAAAAAACTTAATTCATTAGATTAAATCACTAAAACGAGGAAAGTATGTTAAGCCATTGCTTGCAATACCAGCATCCATATCCAATGCTGGTTTAAGCCCCAACTGTTCTACTTCTGGTACAGGTCACCACTAATGCGCCTGGTAAGGTAGCAGAAAATGGCCCAAGTTCCATGCTCCTGGCTTTGGCTTGGTCCAGCCCCAGCCATTGCAGCCATTTGGGGAATGAAACAGAGGACAGAGGATCACTGTCACTCTGCCTTTCAAATTAATCAATCTTAAAAAATAATAATAAAATGAAAGCTGAAAGCAGTTGTTCCAAATGATAACAACATTTAGATAGCACTTTATATGTTAACCATTTAATCCTCACAACTGTTTTATGAAATTCGTAATATTACCTTTACTGAGACAAAGAGAAGGAAGGTTCAAGGTTGCCAAAGCTAGTTAGCAACACAAACAGGAATCAATTTTAGTCACCATGCTAAGCTGCCTCCGTGGTGTCACAGCCATACTGAGTGCTCAAAACACTCACTCTGCTCACAAATACTGCTACTTGCTACTCTGTGTAACTCGTCATGACAGTCTGTTAAGCAAGACAAGGACCAGCAACACCGGCTGGCGCAGAACCACCGCTCCCTGGGACTGCGACTGCCGACCTTCTTCCTTCCCTCGCCAAGGCCAGGCCCTCACCAAGCACCACGGTGGCTTCCTTTCCACCGATTTTCTTAATACAGAAATTGACCAATGAAAGTTCATTTAAGTGGACATAAATGAGCTGTATCAGATTACAGTTCTCAGCACGCTATTGTACAAAGCGTAAGCCACACGTGCACTACCGCGGGGTCAGTTCACTCCTTCAGTCTCGTGAACTGTCTCTAGACATTCCCCTTTCCTCTTTCCACGTTTTTGGCTTGGCTGCTCTTGCTGAATCATATTCTCCTCAAGATAACTCACTCAGGGCTGGCATTGTGGCACTGGCATCCCTACCAGAGAATAGCAAGTGCGTGGGTGCCTGCCACCCTTGTGGGAGATCCAGAAGGAGTTCCAGGTTCCTGGTTTCAGCCTCATCCAGCCCTGGCTGCTGTGGCCATTTGGGGAATGAACCAGCAGATGGAAATTTCTTCTCTCTCTCTCCTCCTCTATCACTCTGCCTTTCAAATGAATAAATAAATTAAAAAAACAGAAGGATGATTAACTCAAATGAGAAGTCTGGAGTTAAGGGATGGCCATTCCCTCTAAGAATCTGGCCATGGAAAGAAAGAAATGTAATCTAAACACTTAGGATCAGATATCAACAGGAGGCCCGTTAGGAATGCAGGTATTTAACATAATGGAGCGCTAAGAAGCTCTAAGTGGCAACAGCCTCTCTGTGTACTGACCAGACTTTCACAATCCAGGGAAAACACAAGGGCAATGGTGTAGATTGTACTATCTTTCATGCAAAAAGAAATGTTACAACCTGTATTTTATATATATAAACCAAAACCGCAGAAGGAACACAAAGACTTAGGAATACCCATTAGGGGCCAGCGTTGTGGCATAGCATTGAAAGCCAATGCCTGGGGCCGGTGCCGTAGCTCGGTGGGCTAATCCTCCGCCTGTGGCACCAGCACACCGGTTCTAGTCCCAGTCAAAGCGCTGGATTCTGTCCCGGTTGCTCCTCTTCCAGTCCAGCTCTCTGCTGTGGCCTGGGAAGGCAGTGGAGGATGGCCCAGGTCTTTGGGCCCTGCACCTGCATGGGAGACCAGGAGGAAGTACCTGGCTCCTGGCTTTGGATCAGTGCAACGTGCCAGCTGTAGCAGTCATTTGGGGAGTGAACCAACGGAAGGAAGACCTTTCTCTCTCTAACTCTGCCTGTCAAAAAAAAAAAAAAAAAAAAAAAAAGCCAATGCCTGCAATGCCAGCACCTGATGAGTCCCAGCTGCTCCACTTCAGATCCAGCTCTCTGCTAATGTGCCTAGGAAAGCAGCAGAAGATGGTCCAAGTACGTGGGTCCCTGAAGCTATGTGGGAGGCAGGAAGATGCTTCTGGCTCCTGGCTTTGGCCTGGCCCAGCCCTGGACACTGTGGCCATTTGGGGAGTGAATCAGTGGATGGAAGACCTCTCTGTCTAACTGCCTTTTTTTTTTTTTTTTTTTTTTTAAATTTTATGTATTTATTTGAGAGGTAGAGTAAGAGAGAGAGGGAGAAACAGAGAGAAAGGTTTTCCATCTACTGGTTCACTCCCCATATGGCCAAAAGGGCCGGAGCTGAGCAGATCTGAAGCCAGGAGCCAGGAGCTTCTTCCAGCTCTTCCACGAGAGTGCAGGGGCCCAGGCACTTGGGTCACCTTCCACTGTTTTCCCAGGCCATAGCAGAGAGCAGGACTGGATGGAAGTGGAGCAGCCGGGACACAAACTGCTACCCATATGGGATTCCAGTGCCACAGGTGGAAGTTTAGCCTACTATGCCACAGCTCCAACCGCAACTAACTCGGCCTTTCAAATAAATAAATCTTAAAAGAAAGAAAGAAAAGCCACTACCCTAAGAATTCATAACTGGGCAGAAGAAGGTTAAGTTTAATGGAACACTCATCATTGTACCAAAAACTGGAATTAAAAAATATGGCCAAGCAGGTAAGCACCAAGGAGAATACTTTCTCAAGAGTCAAAGCCGCAGCAAGGGCAACAGTGAAACTTCGGTATTATGCAGAGTGTGGTGCCAAATCTGGTCCCTCAAATGGAAGGAGAGGGCAGAAGAGAAGTCACGCAATCTCAGTGGCCACACCCTGCTGCCTTCACAGGGCGACACTCTGTGCAGCGATGGATCTGCCCATCCTGGGGAGCGCTCAGTGCTTCCCTGCCCACCCCCACCTCCCATGTCCCCACTGGGGACAGCTGCAGGCAAAGAAGATCTTTGTTTCTTCCAAGTTCATCTGTTTCCCCTGCCAGGATCATAATTCTTCATTTGTGACATCACCATGAGCTACAGTGGGGGGGCTGGGATGTCACAAACAGAGGATTCTGTCACAAACTCAGAATTCTGGCTGCAGAGTGGCAAGAGAGAAAAGAAACCCAAAAGACCGCCTTTGGAGACAAAGCTTTTGCCTATGTAAGCCCCAGAAAACGTGACAGTAGGCAGAACGGCTTTCCAAACACACACACACACACACAAACCAAACAAAACAAACTTATGAATCACACTACAATGACACTGTGATTATTAAACTCATGGTCAGAGGAGGGATGCTCATAAGTTAATGCTAGGACTCTGCATCAGCCATGCTCACATGTATTATTACCAGGTAAAACTCAGTGAGTTCAGAGTGATTCTTGCCTACACCCTTTTATCAAACATTCATGGAGTACCTGCTACAGAAATTCCCACACAGGGAGGGACGACTCCCTTCTTCAGATGCTACTCACAAACTTCTTTTATGTAACCCTGAAAATCTCTTCCTCATCAGTGTTTTTTTAACCTTTTGGGGCCAGCTCCACCCTCTTTTGAAAGGCTAAGTGCCATCTAAGGACACAAGCTGGGAACTAGATAGATCAGTCCTAACAACTACAATTCTAGAATCGCACCTAGAACCCTCATACCGCTCCTGTGCTTCAGATCTATCAACCCTTCCAACACACAAACTTTCAAAGAACTATCACGCAGTTTAACTTCTAAGCACAACTTAACATCAAAAAGGTGATGACAGGGTGCATACACTATTTTTTATTTATAGCTTTGAGTTCACATAACGCGGGAGTTAAAGTTAGCTCTTGTCATTCAAATAAAAATGGACTGTCCAAACCCAATATTTAATTCCATTTGGTTTTTCCTTTATTAACCAGTGCACTTCTAGGTCACATCAACAAAAACAAATTCAAGTAACAAACTCATTTTGCTTTTTATCATAAAGCCAAATGTAATTAAGAAAATATGTACCTCAGAAAAAAAAATTAAGGAAAGAACAAAAAAACTTAGAAGCCAAATTTAAGTGATGATTTAGCATTCTTGATCTTCTGTACCATTCCATTCCTCTTAGTAACCAGCACATGCAGTGCACAGCCACACACACACACTCATGCACTCACACACACAGAACTCTGAGAAAGGGCAGGTGAGCTTTTCCTTTTGGTTGTACTTTACCTTCCGAAAGTCCCGCTTCTCAAAGTCCATTTCTGCTATTTTCTCATATTCCATGACTGCGTTAGCATTTTTGAACTGCACCAGAAAATCAGATGTGAGAGAGTTTTATGATGCTTTAGATTCCAACAATCACAAAAATCAACAAAGCTTTGATGAATCAGTCCTTTCAAGTAAATCAGAACTATGGATTTTCACAGGTGAACAGATGAAGAGGCAGTGAGGATTCCTCAGAGAGCTGAGGTCCAGATTTCACCCCCAGGAACACAACAGTCATGCCTTAATACACATAAAATAAAGGCAATACAGTGTCAGGGACTAAGTGAAGTTTTGATACTTTTACTAAAATGTATCCAGGTTAAAACACATAAGTGTGGAGATGGAACTAAACAATGTTTTAGTTGTTACCAATCTAATCAGAATTTAAGTTTACTCAAAATGTTTTAACTTCATCTAAATCAGTTCCTTGAGGCACCCTATTCCCCAAGCCATCTCAGAAACTTCGATTTTCAGATTTTTAAAACAATGTATATTGAAACCCATCTTACGTACAAGGAGGCTGGGGCTCAGAGAGACAAGAACTGCCTAAAACAACACCAGCTGTGGCTGACGCCAAGGGCAGCATGGGTCTTGGTTCTGACCTTAAGTCACTATCCTGCCTGCGCTGCTACTTGTGACATTAACAGGGTCAGATCCATACCTCCTGCTGTGCTTGAGTGTTTTTGTGATCCAGTTCTAGGGCTCTCTGGAAACTGCGACATGCTGCCATGGCATTCCCTAGGGAGAGGTGACACTTGCCCTCTCGCAAATGTCCCTGGAAGAAACACAAAGAGGGAAGAAAAGGAGCATGACTGGCCAAGCAGACAGAAATCAACAGCAGCAACAAAGATCCACACAACACCAACCTGGGATGCAAACAGCCAGAGCTGTGACTCCCAGTCTGAGAGCTGTGCCCCCCAGGGACACTGAACAATGTTAGGAGCTATTTTGGCTGTCTCATCTGGGGAGGGAGTACGCTACTGTCACTTAGTGGTTTAGGGCCAAAGATGCTGTAACAATGTATGATGTACAGGAGAGCCCTATGAGAAAGAATTACAGGAGAGTGGGCGTTTGCTCTGGTGGTGAAAAAGCCCAAAGCCCATATTAGAGTATGTGGGTTCAAGTCCCAACCCTACTCGGATTCCAGCTTCCTATGGCAGGCATTTTGGTACAGCAGCTAAGATATCGTTTGAGGGGCCAGTGATGTGGTTAAGCCTCTGCCTGCAGCGCCAGGATCCCATATGGGTGCTGGTTCATATTCTGGTTGCTCCTCTTCCAATCCAGCTCCCCTTAATGGCCTGGGAAAACAGCAGGAGATGGCCCAAGTGCTTGGGCCCCTGCACTCGTATGGGAGACCTGGAGAAAGCCCCTGGCTCCTGGCTACAGAATGGCTCAGTTCTGTCCATTGAGGCCATTTGGGGAGTGAAGCAGCAGACAGAAGATCTTTCTCTCTGTCTCTCCCTCTCTCTGTCTGTAACTCTACCTCTCAAATAAATAAAATCTTAAGACTGAGTTCTTGGTTCCTGACTTCAGCCTGGCTGGGTCATGGCTACTGTAAGCATTTGGGGAGTGAACCAATAGGTGGAGGATCAATCGGCTGGTATCTGTTTCAAATAAATAAAAATTAAACAGACAAAAAGCACATGCTCTAGGAGGCGGCGATCTCTCACATTTCCTGGCATCTGGGAGTGAACCAACAAATGGGAGCTCTCACTCAGTGTCTGTCTCTGCCTCTCAAATAAATAGCTTTAAAAAAAGAATGAGGCGGCCTGAAATGTCAACAGTGTTATGACTAAGAAACCTGGGCTAGACAAACTCAAATCTATCAGGTTAGCCCCCCTCGAGGAGCCCCAGCACATACCCGGACGAAACTGTCATCCAACCTCACTGACTGCTGCGCATCTCCAAGAGCTTCCCGGAACCTCCCCAGCATCATCAGTGTGGCTGCTCGATTACCATAGTAGCTAGCGTTTTTAGGACACATATCTGTAGAAAAGGCGAAAGAATATCAATCAAAATTGAGCACAGATCTGCTTCGAAAACTTAGGGGTGTCTCCCCCAGAACTAGTCTAAGGAATCAGAGAGGATGCAGACATCCTTCCAAGGCCCACAGCCAGAATTCCACTATGCAGAAGCCAACAGTGCAATCAATTTTAAAAGATAACAAGTTACAGCTTTCAAGTACACGGATTCTCTTTTAGGGGGCAAGGGCAGCCTATTTATCTTTTCAATGAACTGCATGTTATGTATTGAGACCTTAAAATGACTCTGCATTTGTTAGCTATTTTGGACAGTATCTTCTCACCTATGGCTTTTGTATAATAGTTGTAAGCTTCATTGTAATCCTTCTTGGCATAGTATGCATTTCCTTGTTCCTTGAAAGACTCTGCTTCTCTGAAAGAGAAAGAGAAATCAGGTTATTACACTCAGGGAAAACCTCTGCCATCCCACGGGAGCCCCCAGCCATGGAGCTGGGAGTTGGCAATGACAGACACCTGAAGAATTTTCACATTTGTTCCATAGGCTGAGATCACAAGGAAGTGCTAACAAGAATCCAAGCTCTGCTGCTGCTATTTCTTGTCACGCAGACCAAGCCAAGAAAACCTCCTCCACGGTGCCTGCCTGGCCTCCGCACTCATGCCTGCAGTTGTTCTCCCTCAGGACAGGCAAATTTACACTCTCCCTAAATCCAGAGAGCAGCCCAACTGTTCAGTCTATTTCCTTCTGTGTCACAACTGCTGCTTCTATTGACAATTTACAGAAGCATCAGTTATAGGTAATTCCTTTCAGGGGCAACTGATTTCTTGATGTGAAATGATCACATCCTTAAGAGTTTTAATGACCCAGTTTGCTGAAAGTGGTTCATGCATTTGTCATGGGAAGAACAAGCACAGGAAGAGCAGGCGGCAAAAGGGTTAAAAGCGCCGTCCATGAGTGTTTAGGGTGGTCGACAGAGTTGGGTGATAGCGGAGACTAAGGGCTGTAGGAAGTACAGGCTGCAGTTACCATGCCACAGGAGTAGCCATCTGCCCCTCCCATCTATGTGGGTAGCCACTGCCCCCTTTACCAGGCATCTGGGGAGTGAACCACCAAATGGGAGCTAGCTGTCTACCTTTCTCTTTGATTGCTTCTCAAATAAATTTACAAATAGTATCTGGCCTAACTAAATATGCTTCACCATCCCTTCAGTGCCTTATATATTCAGCAAGTAGGTTACATTAGATTTTTTTCCTCTATCTCAAGGATCTATTTTTTGAAACTGTGTCATTACACTAATTGTGCTTTCCTAAAGGAACTCTGTTATATAACTGGGAAATATATTCCTAACCAAATAGGTAGAATCAAATCATGTGACCAGGGGCCGGTGCTGTGTAGTGGGCTAGGCCCCCACCTGCAGCACCAGCATCCCATATGGGTGCCAGTTCAACTCCTGGCTGCCCCTCTTCTGATCCAGCTCTCTGCTATGGCCTGGGAAAGCAGTGGAAGATGGCACAAGTGCTTGGGCCCCAGAAATCCACAGGAGGCTCCTGGCTTCAGATTGGCCCAGCTCTGGCTATTGTCATTTGGGGTGTGAACCAGTGGGTGGAAGAACTTGCTCTGTCTCTCCCTCTCTTTATCTGTAACTCTGCCTCTGAAATAAATAAGTAAATCTTAAAAAAAAAAAAAAAAAATCACTTGACCAACAGCGTTTTAAGACAACTGGGGTGGGCACTGTGGCATAGCATGTAAAGCTGCTGCCTGCAGTACTCGCATTCTATATAGGTGCTGATTCGAATCCCGACTGCACCACTTCCCATCCAGCTCCCTGCTGATGAGCCTAGGAAAGCAGCGGAGGATGGCCCAAGTGCTTGGGCCCCTGCACCGCATGGGAGACCTGGAGGAAGCTCCTGGCTTTAAATTGGCCCAGCTCTTGCTGTTGTGGCCTTTTGGGGAATGAATCAGCAGATGGAAGATCTCTCTCTCTTTTTCTGTCTCTCCCCTTCTCTCTCTGTAACTCTGCCTTTCAAAAAAATAAATAAGCAAATAAATAAAAATAATAAAACTAGCAACCTCTATTGAGTACACCAAAATCATTCTCTTGCCCAGCTTGAATGATACAGGTAATTTTTTACAGAAATCACTACTGCAATATAACTAACACCTGAGCACTTCTGTTAAGTAAGAATCACACAAAAGAAGCCAGGTCACAGTTGCCTGAAGTGGTGAAGTCCTAATACCTAACACTGGTGATGGCATGGGAGCTTACAGTTTGATTCAACAGGCACCAGCGTCATGACTCGTGCACTCATATATTTCACACTACACATCAGCAAAGCTGACCCCTGCTTTCCATCCTCCATCACCGTCCTGGCAAGCCCTATTGCCTTGAAAGGTCTGCTGGAAGAAACAAGAATGAAAATGGGAATGACCCACGAATGCTATCAGAGTGAACTGTGATGGACGTAAACCTGCTCACATCATTTTATTACACCAGCTGTCACAACGCTGAAATGAAGTCGTCTGCAATTACAAGTCTGCAGGAAGGGTCCCCCATAAGACACAAAGGACTAGCTGAAATCTTTCTACAATGCGTATAGCATCCTGTTAACTCTAAATTCAGCAACCTACTATGTAAACCATGGGCAATCTATTCTGTAACAGCAGACGTGCCAACAGATTTGAAGAATGGGTTTCCCCAGAACTGGATTTCAGAAGTCAAACTGCTATGAAGAGGGGCCGGCGCTGTGGTATAGCCGGTAAAGCTGCTGCCTGCATTGCCGGCATCCCATGTGGGCACCCGTTCAAGTCCTGGCTGCTCCACTTCCAATCCAGCTCTCTGCTATGGCCTGAGAAAGCAGTATAAGATGGCCCAAGTTCTTGGGCCCCTGCATCCATGTGGGAGACCCGGAAGAAGCTCCTGGCTTCAGATTGATGCAAACCCAGCCATTACAGCCATTTGGGGAGTGAACCAACAGATGGAAGACCTCTCTCTCTCTGCCTCTCCTTCTTTCTCTGTGTAACTCTTTCAAATAAATTAATAAATCTTAAAAAAAAAAAAAAAAGACCTAATGAAATGAACTTTGCCTCCCCTAAGAAATGCATTTCATTTTAGTAAATGGTGAGTAGATTCCATTCTAGAGCAAACAAAGCAAGTAATGCAGAGTCAGCCCACAGTAAAAAGAACAAGAATTGTGTTGTGACAAGCTACTATGTTTTTAACCCCACTGCACAGCATCAGGCCAGAATTAGCTATTCCCACACAACTGTCTCATGAAAAGGACTTATTTTCATGGAAACATGGCTGATGGAACAGCTGCCTAAACAATGGGCACTCAGTGCTTTTCGCCTAAATGCTCTTTCCCTCCACGTCCAATGCCCTAGGTGGGGTCTCTCCATTTGAACCTCCCCACCAGACATACAACAAACTTCAACCAACACGCCTGACCCTGCGAGACCAGTCCAGGGAAAACTGGATCTTTGGAACCCAGCATGGCAGCAGCAAGAACTGAACAAGGCTGCCATCGGGAACAATCCAGGGTCAAACCCATTCAAGTCCTACCCTGGGAGTCTGAGAAAAGGCTGAAGCTTGTTTCAATGGCCCTACAGCAAAGGGACTGAGCACGAGCTGTCAAAGGCGTGGGGCTGGAAGAGAAGGAGAAGAGCTTGTTAACACTGGAACTGAGGACAGTCTGGAAGTAGCACCTGCGGTTCCACTTACTGCTAGGGCCAACTCATTTGGGAACCATATGAGGTTACAATACATACTCACCAAAGCACCTTGGTACTGAGACAGACGCATTAGGATCAGGTGGGTTCACCTGGACCAATTTTCAAACATGGGCAAGGATTCCCAAGAGACTAAACTACAGGTTATTTTCTGTGGCTATTTAGGGGCCGGCGCTGTGGCTCAGCGGGTTAATGCCCTGGCCTGAAGCACCGGCATCCCATATGGGCGATGGTTCTAATCCCACTGCTCCTCTTCCGATCCAGCTCTCTGCAATGGCCTGGGATAGCAGTAGAAGATGGCCCAAGTCCTTGGGCCCCTGCACCCTCGTGGGAGACCCGGAAGAAGCTCCTGGCTTCGGCTTGGCGCAGCTCCGGCCGTTGCAGCCATCTGGGGAGTGAACCAGCAAATGGAAGACCTCTCTCTCTGTCACTACCTAACTTTGTCTTTCAAATAAATAAGATAAATCTTTAAAAAAAAAAAAAAAAAGAATCACAACATAGCTCAAGTACTTTCTCAGATTTTAGAAGTGTTTCCATGGAAAATGTTCAAATGGCCTCCTGAGGTGGGGATGGTGACAATATCACCTGTCCTCTAACAGAAAAAGAGCCAGTGAGGCACCCACAATGGGCACACAGGCTTCCTAACTCTTAAGAGTCCCAACTCTTTACCACTAACTCCTGTGTGTCCAAGTTTTCAGATTAAAACTTACTCATCCTGTTTCCCATCCAATCCTTGGGCCAACCTTTAAGCAGTATAAACTTCACAGCTCTGATTACTCACAGAGAATGATTCTACTTCCACCAATGAGGTCCTTTTACTTTAATTTGCAGATGAATTCTTGTGAAAACATCTGCCCCTGCTGTCCTTGCTAGATGTGGGGGGGGGGGGGGGATCCTCTCACAGCAGCACCTGCCCTCCCGCTCACATTCGTGGATCCCACTCTTAGTCTGTTCTGCTTTTTTGAACGTACTCCAGAGCACACTCAGAGACGACCTCATCAATTAGGAACCTGCAGTTTTGAAAACCTGCTCCTCTGTGCTAAATCCTCAATGTCCTCTCTTTAGGCAGTTACTTCTCTCTCCCCCAACTCAGCGTTCACTCATTGCTGATGCTAATTGCTCCAATAAACTGCCAAGGGATCACTGGGTAGCACACAGGTCTTAGCAAGGGCTCGGCACCATGTGAGCAAATCAGACAATTTGGATTTGTGATCATCAGCCAATTGTGAACATTTACAGCTCATCTTAAAAAAGACGTCAATACACCCTAGTTGACATTGCAACATGCCCCTAAATTAGATGCCCTATAAAAATTTCCATTTTCTCTCTAAATACTTCCAAGTTGAACACTGAAGCAAGATTTCTGCCTTAGGCCCATTTGTCTAACTTTAGAGCAATTAAAGTATTCAGAAACTTTGGCCAGCCTCTAACACAGGATCCCTTAGGTGGTAAGTTTCTAAAATGTCCTTCAACAGAATTAATAACAGCCTGCAAGCCACGGCTGCAGCAGCTTGAGTGAAGTGAATTTGGTTTTGTTTTTTCATTTTCATTTATTCTGCTATTCTTGAGGTGGAAATAAAAGCTTTTCTAAAATTGCAACCAAAAACAAAACAATAAAGGAATGTTTAGGGGCCCTTGATTTTGGAGTGTTTCATTAGCAGGAACAATCTTAAAAAAAAAAGATACTT